TTGTTACAATATTAACAGCAGCTAGTAATAATAACGGAGTTGTGTGAGTAATCGCAACAACACAATGTCGGGAAAATTATAGTTGGATTCGCGATTATACAGTATTGCAATCGTAATTGCCACGAAATTAATACTACGGTATTGTAATAAAATAATTTTATTTGCGAGTCGAGGACGACTACATTTAATGCCAAATGCAATTACCAATACGAATCTAATTGCTTGTTGCATGAAATCGCGCGTAATCGACTATCTCCTTTTATACTGAATACAATGTACAATCGAAGACCAATGGAATGAAAATGACGCACGTTTTAGTACAGTGTGCATTAAATATCGTACGAAATATTTTTCACAGTAACACTACATATAATAAAGAAGCGTAAAGGGCGTGAACAAGTTTTGAAGACTGTGAGTGAGAAATGCAGACTTCTAGGTTTTCACTTTTCTGGCAGCCAAATTTCTGTATTCAATTGCAGCTCGCTCTGCAAAAGAGCATTGCATTGCTCGTCCGTGAGCTTCTCGTTTCTCTGCTGCACCTCCTTCGCGGCTTTCAAATACCTGTTTGAAAGAGAAACGTATTACAAGATTGCGCTGCGTCTCGCAAGACGTGTGTGTGTGTGTGTTTTTCTGCAATTTGCACCTCAATGATTTCGCACAGCCGTAACTAAATGTATTAATTTTTTACTCGATACTTCAAGTCGCCGTCGATCTATATCTTACGCGCAAAGTTTTTCTAACTTCGGCCTCTTCGAAAAATTTGCAAACGTATAGCTTCGCGCTAATTTCTACGGGGTAAAATAATTATGGGCACCGATAGAGACGCAAAACTTACTTCTGTATAGAAAGGACCATGTTCTTGATCTCGTTCTCGACAGCTCTGGGCGACGGTCTCGTGCATTCCGTGTTCTCGATGTGCTTCGTCCGAATGAACGGACAAATACGAATCCATCCGCCCTCCCTTACGCAGGAAGCCCTCCAGTCCCTGCCGTTGTCCCAAATCGGCGGCGCGGCATGATTCTCGATCGTGTTTCCCTTGTATCGGCGTATGTATTTGTCCATTAACAGCGGATTGTAGCGGGGCCACGTGGTCGGGCAAACTTCCGGCGTTGATTGTCTCAGCTGAAGGAAAATCGCAATATGAGAGGCACAGTTTTCTTTCTCGAGTGAACAATACGCCCGTAAAATTGCATTAGCCTTTCTCGATTAATACTAATCTGTAGTCATCGAATCTTTAACATTTCGAGATTAGTCTCTTCTACTTATCCATAATTGAAAATATTATGTTTGACGTGTTATTGGCATTTAATATCGATCACGAAAGGCAGAAGGTTCGCGGGCGTTTACCGTGGCTCGGGTCTCCGAGGAAAGGTTTAGTAAATTTTCGGCTTCTCGACCGAGTTTCGATCTCTTTTTCACGGAGCGACCGAATCTGGAAGACACTTCGCCGTCGTCCTCCTCGATGCGATCGGAGGTGGACCAGATTGTGAACAGAGAGAGCCCGGTGTTACACACTGGAAGACCCAATAAGTCAAACAGATCGTGCAACAGAGGCTTCTTCACCTCTGAATCGACTTCGCAGTCGTTACTCAATGCCGGGCTTAAGTTCACCTGTAATTTATGAAGATTCGTTATCTTTTTATTATTCGATTCAATTATTTCATTTATCCTTTCCAATCACGCTCATATTTACCTCTAAAAGCCACGGCTTTAAATTCTCGTCAATCAGCACGTCGAAGCCGAAAAACTCGAAGCAATTCGAGGATCTAGGAATGCCTGCTGCTTGACTTAGAATCGTTAAAGTCACTAGACACGAGATTCTCTGCCAAAGAATCCAATCGGAGTATCCTGACTGTTCGAAATATCTTCGCAGTTGTCTAAACGTCCACTTGCATCCTAAGTAAAAATAAGAAAGATTGTTGTCTTACTTTTCTCCTTTTAATTCCCGCGTCTGGTTATAGAACAATAAAGAGGGTAGTATACGATATATTAAAATACCGGCGCCGATGCGTTCTTTCTTTTCCGAGTAGCCTGGCCCTAATTTGTTGAGGGAAAAATTTGTCAGATGCCGAAAGGGATCGTCCAATCGCTCCAGGGAAAACTTTTCGGTGGCGAAACGGGCCAGACCTTCCTTGTGCAGGTAAATCGTTAACGGGCGATACGACGGCACGCACACGTACAGGCGAAGATCGAATTTGTATCCGCCGATCAGCAAAGGATTCTCGATGTACCTTTGCACTATCGCGGCATTATCGTACGACAAGTCGCTTAATTTCTGGAAAAATACACGCGTTATTTAATTTGTGCGACTCTTGCACTTTGTGCTGCACCTTAAACAGAAGCCTCACGCGAAATAGAAAGATTCCTCTCCCTTGACTTTGGCCGACCGGCTTGCAGATCCAAACCTTGTCATCCTTCTCGCAACGGCTGCACTCCTCGGCCAATTTTGTGTACTCGGAAGGCAAGTTGTACCCTGCGGGACTAATACGATGAATGAATATCGTCGCTAGGAAGTAATCCTACGTTCTGTACAGTTTATATCTCAAATTGAATGAGAAATAGCGATTTTGGTAGAAAAATGTAATTTAACTTTGGTATACACACGTTTTAATTGACCGAATATTTGAGGCAACTTAATAAATGAAAATAATGCGATTTTGCGGGGAAAACTTTTGCGTTGACGCAGGTAAGCGCAATTAAAAGTTTAGTCGTATACCTGAAGTCATATATCGAACCGTGGACTTTTTTCATGCGTTTCAAGTGGCGGATAAGCTTATCCTTCCGGCAGATGGAATTTCCCTTCGGTATCCGATTGACAAACTGTTCGAAAAATAATCCGATATACTATTCTAGCTAACTAATTCCCTGAATTAAACTGACAATGAATTGAACAAGAGTTGAAATATTATAAATGATTAAAAACTTAATGAAATAAAAGAAAACAACGTGAAATTGGTCTAACGAACATAGAAAATTATTGTCACAAATTGTAATTAAAACTAATTAATTAATGCCATAAATTAAAATTAATTGAAGTTTGACTGTTTTTTTTCGGAAAATTCAAGAAATAGTTAATTAATTTATTATGATGTAAAATTAAGGAATTTGAAAAGACTGATATCTTTGTCCGTTTATCATATACGTTTCGGATGGAAGACCCGAACTTTCAAAATGCGGGTGGATATTGCGTTATTACCTGCCAGGGGAGTAACGGCCTGTAATGCGACGCGGGGAAACCGCCGGACCGCCACCATAAATTCCATCGATCTTTGAATACATTATTTTCGCCGGCGTACTCCCGCCATCCCCGTTCCGTGCAAACCTGCGGAAGAAAACATCCGCGGTAGCGAAAGGGCTGATATTACCTCGACGGTTTATTCCGGGGGGCTAGGTACTATTTATAACCCGTCTCAAATGTCGATACACGTGAGTGCTCATGCATTTTCCCCCCGTTGCAGACTGCAACGGAAAAAGCGAAAACTAATCTTTCCCGCGTTATTCGCAACAGCGTGAGAAATGCTACAAACGTCGCGACTAAACAAAAAAATTTGGCATCGATCGACACGTCACTTATCGCGCTACGTTTCTACTTACACTTTTCCGTTTCATTGACGGATTTATAGATAACAATTGAAAGTTGAATCGCGCAATTTTAAGGCAAGTCGCCGCGGAATACGTTGGATGAAAATAGCAGTTTTATCGATGCATTCGATTCCTAGATATTAATATTCTTACAAATAAATTTGTGGAGGGTACTCGACTTATTTTGGTGTCTCTCTAAATATGCATTTTAGTATCTTGCTTTATACCAGGGGTTACAACCGAAATACCATAATCGATATCTGCTTAATCCACACGCTGTGCACGGACGTGTTGCATCGATTGGCCAAATCGAGGCTGGGAGCCACTTTCAGTTCGGCAACCGGAAAGTGCATTCCTTAATTCCACATACCTACGCATTCCGAAGTTTCGAAACTTTCGAGGGTGAGACGCGAAAATAGCGACGACCGCCCTTGATTTATTGTCGTGTTATTAGAACATTAGGAATGACTGACTGCTCGCTACATCAGAAACGAGCCAAGGCCTCTGATTACAATTAAATCGGCACGCACGACACATCGCTTTAATTGAAGAATTTATTTCCGAATCGTTTTCAATTTATATTTTTCGGATAAAGCGCTTGTACGCGCGTGTGTGCATTTAAAAGATTACAAGCTTGACACAATTTTTTACTCTAAAGTACTTTAGAAATAATTTCTAATTATGCGAATACAAATAATTGAGAGAAGATGAGGGATGATTATATACGTTTCTGCATTTTAAACTTTGGATGTTTCTTATAATTTAACTGTTGTCTTTTTGCTTTCGAATTCGAAAGAAGCGAGGATAATTTCGTAAATATAATACTTATGCAGATTTTTCCGCGTCACGCAAAGTGCTGCACTTCGAAATTCTATAGTATTCGACACTGGATATGTCATTATTTAATTTTGATTAATCACACATTGTGTGAGACACGACTGTACTATTTCCGTAGCTTCGGAATAGCTTATTTTAGATTCGTTTAATGCAAACCACTGAATAACTCGCGAATTACACGCCCGCCGTTACGATTGGCAAGCTTCCATTTTTTAAAATTTTTGTTTCACGAATAACCCAATTTTTTTACTTCACTGTGCCAATTTAATCGTTGAACATTAAAAATGTACGATGCGTTTGTGCATTGACCTCTGTCTAAATTATTAAAAAAAGAATATATGTTCGAATTGAAAGAATCTGACCTGATAAGTTAAAACTCGATCAGAAAATATTTAGTATTAAGACTTAATCATATTTTATAATAAGAAATCATGTTTTATAATACACAGTACAACGGAACACGCTAATAACTGTGGAATATGACACAGCGCGGAAGTCAGAAATCTCGCGCTGGAAATTTTCGCCATGTCCAACTTAGTCCCTTCTGCTTTTGTTATTTTTTTTTTTACCGTTGCATGTCGCACTTACCTAATCGTCGCGTCTAAAAGCGGCAAGTGCACGCAGAGGCGCGTTGCAGGTATGCATGTATGTATCGCGTACCTTGAAAAGTATTTGGTTCAAGGGCGCTAAGTCTAAGTTTGTAACCGTGCCGCGAACAAATTCCAAGGGACATAAAGGCCGGACTAGAGGGGGACCTATCTCCGACGCGTCCGCCGGGTGTACAACGTTAACATTTTCCGTCGGAGCCGACGACCTTTCGCGCCGAATCGTTATCGATTATCCGCGATGCATCGCGCGGCAACGCGCGCGGCCGTTTCGGCGCTCGTACGTCAATGAATGACGTGCAGATTTACGATTGGATTACTACTAGACTACGATTTCGATCGTGCTTTATCGAGAGCCTCATCGGCGACCGTCAGTCTCCGGGATTGTGAAAAGTTTCGTCCGACTCACTATCAGTTGTACCTGTACAAGCAGATGCGGTCCGGTACCGTTGTCATTTAGTCTGAACACAAAGGGCCCTTCCATGCATTTTATTGCCATGCCGAAGCATCGTACTCTGTTTGATGTTTAAGAGATACAGCGAACCTTCGGTTTAGTTACGTCGATATTGCATTATAGTCCAGAAGCACATTACATGCAGTCTAAGAAAGAGGAGGATTAAATTAATTAAATATCTCCATGTTAGCAAACGCATCTAAGAAATATTAACAAATCACTAACCACCCTAATTTTGTATTGTCTCGAAATGGCGCTATCAACTCTTTTATAGATAAAATGCTTTCTCTTACTAAAAAAAATGGAAAAATTTAATTTAATTATATTTTCTTCAGAGCATATTGAAGAGCACGAAATGAAAAAAAAGAGATGTGCAAATATCGGTAAAAGTAGTTTCTCTTTCATCGAAAAGAATTCGATAAATACGATCTGATACTTTATTAATAAAATTACAGTAATAAATGTCTCTAGTTCCTCAATAAAGATACAAATTTGTAATAAAGATAGTAACGAATATGTTTTTTTCATTTTAAAATAACGGAGACGTGTTAAAAAGTCGAGTGTAGAATAATTTGTCGACGTTAATTACAAATTAATGGCAAATACGCGTATCTATTAATACATTGGTACGACATACACGCGAGATCTGTGTATGTCGGGTTGTATACCAAGTATTCGTCAGTGTCAAGGATATTTTGAAATATAAAGTGCATATAGATCGCGAGCGACGCCACGTGTGTGTCGTGTCTATCGTTTTCGACTCTTATTGTTAGCACAAGCAAAATAGAAAGCAATATGCAGAAGAGAACCTTACCTCCGCGGATAATATACATTTTGTCGATAACCTCAATCCTCACGTAAAGAGTTATCTGGAAAAATTACTGTTGTATTACATAATTTATAATTTTCTAGAGATCAATCGTTTCACACAATTAATATACTCGAGATCGCGATTTGTTACATGTCTACATGTTACATGTTTAAATGTAACTGTATAAGATACATAATATCGTAATAGAAACCACATACTTTATCAATATTTTCTACTCATTGTAATTCAAATTGTTAGTACTTATGAGAGACTTACAAAGTGGTAATTGCCGGAAATAAATTCGCTGCCAATTCCGCTACCATTTCGACTCGGTGAATCGAGAATCGCCCGTGATTTCGATACATCGAGGCCGTTTTCTTGGCGAAGTCTCTCGCTGAGATGGCTAGTGCGAACAAGGCGGGATCTCGGTTCTCACTGGTGCGCGGCCACGTTCCGGTCTACGCAATCGCTTTCGGCTTGTTCGCAGGTGCGCAGGCTACTACTGTGTGCCGCTTGCAGCTTTTATGCGCTTTCCACCACGATTGCCGCGAGGGACGGCAAGGACGCCGGATGCGAATGCCGGTAGTGAGATAGTAGGCGGTCAGAAGCAGCTCGTTGTGGAAGGATCGGAGAGAATTTAGATAATTCGAATTTATGGAAGGTTATTAGAAGCACGCGACGCGCACTGTCGTTCCTTTCCGTCAAGGTACAGGGATGGTTTGCACGTGGCAACTAACGAGGCTCTAGACTTCAAACTAAATATAGCACATTGATATAACATTTGCAATTATACTGGCTGAACATTTTCGGACGATTAAACAAAACTATTCGGCTTTTGATTCCTGACTCTGAAATTTCATAAAGCAAATACAATGCTAAATTATCAGTATATTAATAAAATATTCTTAGAACGATATAATAAATTTGCAATGGTGAAATTTTTTCAAGTTTTAGAATATTGTTGACTTTTTCAAATGCCATGTAAAATTTTAATAATTAACGTTTGCCTAATGGATGTATAATATCTGAGAGACGTGTAAAGTAATTAATCCAACCCTGCCTTCAAGTGTATTTTACGTTTCTGCGACATTCTCAAGCTCGAATGAGAGACTGAACTTTTCCCTAGCATTCCTGCGTGCTTTTAAAGTCTCTTTTAATGGCTGACGCATTTTTAATGAGGATAATTATAAACGATATTTGCGAAGATTCTGACAGAGATAAAAGGACATTCTTCAGATGTCACGCGACGATAAATGCGGACATAAGAGTTGAGAAATTATTTTAGTTTCAGCAATTGCATTTAATTAGGGCACCCGATTATCTGAATTTCGTGAAAAGTTTTTATCGCCGCAGAACGATGTGCGACATCGTTATTGATCGTGCTTAACGAACAATTAGGACTGACTAACGGCCAACGTATGTGCGAAGGACACATTGGCAGATTAGGCGCAGAGATGAGGACTGTACGTACATTTCGAGTATAGGAAAATTGAAGAAAGTTCGAAAGGACGAACGTAATTGACTTCGCAACGACTTGACGTCAAATGTCAAATGTCCCGCGTTAAATTAAATTCTTTACTGTATACATTTTTTCTGCCGCAATCATCCGTGCAAAGGAGTACTTAGGCACTAAAATATTTGATATTATATTTAGAATCGAATTAGATGAGAAAAATAGACAAGAATTTAGTCACAACGAAAAAGTGTGTAAAATTGTAAGGTACGTCGTTTTAAAGATCGTTTCGCATAAGAAATTTTCGATATTCACGAATGTGAAATTTGAAATATTTCTTAAAATTCAGTATTATTTTTCGCGACACCACAGCCACTTATTTTATTTATTTTCGCTAGTCAGTATAGATTTGGTTTTACTATCGATAGCTTTTTTTTTAGTGCGTATCATTATTCAATTCAATCCTTTACAAACGTCTTTCAACAAGTTTTGAACACTTAGTTCTGACCTGACTCATTATTTAATAATTTTATTTATAAAATATTCTATTTCTGACGAAGTAGAAGACTATCTGTCTCCTTCGAAGGCAGACAGGTACCGCGAGGTCGCGCTAATGATAAATCGATGAAACATTGCAAAGACTGTCTACTTCGGTTAGAAGTCGGAATTAGTTTAATCGGTCTTATCGGCTATCTTATTCCAATCGTGCATCAATCTTTCTTGAGACTGTATTGATAAATAACGATGACAGTTAATGTCGTGGCATCTTCGCGGACTCGTTCATTCATCCACTTCAAAATTCGCGATTCATGATATAATCAATACTCCCATTCATTGAAGTACAGAGTGGTAGTTGCAAATAACACTCGTAAATAATCGTGCGTCGTTCGTAAGTTTTATAGATGTAGCTCTTTACTGGATTTTTATTAGATACTTCGTTATACACGCGAATCTCTCATAAAGCATACTTCACCCGATAAAGAAATCTTGAGAACTTTTTTCGCACGTTGTTTCAGTGAATTAACTCAAACACAATAGCAATAACATATATTTATACGTATATTTATATTTATGCTATTGCGATTTTAGATAATTAAAATTATTCTTTGAAATGAAATCGAGACTTCGCATAAATTGGTCACCTTTTGAACTTCAGCATTTTTAAGTTTCGTACGTCGAGTGTCACTTATTACAAAATTTTATATACAAAATTTTATATAACGTGAAAGAGTTTATTAAATATAAATATATATATAATACGATAAAAGTAAAATATGCAAACAATAGAATTAAATAAATTAAAATAAACTACAAATTTAGAGATTTATATCTCATTGGTCTCTCTTAATTTTCTTAACAAGTAAACTTACAATAATTTAATAATTGATTTCAAAATATTTCGGAAACGGGGAAGATAATGAATAAGAAATCCTGAATTCTCAAGTGAATAATCTCTTTTATTTTATAAGCAACACGTAACACACGCATACAGAGGCTTATCCTCAGCCGATAGTCAGCCAAGCAAATATTGAGATTTTATGGTCCGCGCTATTGTACGATTGTCGATGATCGAACGGCGGTGGTCTGAATCGTCGAAGATTACTCGATCGTGCAGGTAAAGTCAAGCTCTTCGCACAGCATTCCTTTCTTTTTTTCGGAATTATCGCGAACACAGCTTAAAACACTTATACACTATAATTACAGTATTACACTATATATTACCTTTCACAAATAAACGAGTTCTGTTGAGTTAAGTCTCTCGCACGTATACCTTTTTCCCTCTTTCTCTTGCTTGCTTTCATTCACAAAAAAATAATTACGCCATAACAGAAGCTCACGCAGATGGCACAGAAAATCGGTAACATATTTAGAAGTAACGTAATAATGTGACAATATCTATCGTGTTAGAGTCTCTTATTTCATAAAATAGTACCGACAACGTTTCATGTTTCCTGCAACTTCATATCCTGGAATAGAACTCGAACGTTTCCTTCGTTAATTTGAAATGGATTACATTTGTTAATAGGCGAATTAGACTTAAAGGTTTAATTATTATCGCCTTCACCGATAGATCATAAACTTAAATATAGCAATCCTAAAAAGACAAGAGCATTTGAAAATTTAGTAGAAACCACGCAATCTGATCATTGTATTATTTAATTAAAAATAATACATACGTTTTAAAAAATTTAAAGACATGAATTTATTTTAAAGGGTTTTAATGACAGTTTTAGTTCTCCTCAATAAAAGACCGCAGTAGTTACAGTAGTTACAATAGATGTTAAGAATTGTCAGCAGGTCGTTCCTACCGTGCGAATTTTAGCCTTTCGTTTTTCCAACTTGCGAATCGATCGGCTGATTAAATGAAGGCCCGGATGCATGTTGAACCTGTTATCAGTCTCGGTTTTAATCGACTGATTCCAGGGTACGGCGGACTCGCGGATGAAGATTACCGCGAAGTTTGCATGACCTAAGGATATATATTTGCTTATCGTCGATTTAGTAAAGCTATTAAATATCTTCGACAAATACAACTTACGCCCACAAAATATGTCTGATTCCTCTTTCTTCTCTGACTTATTTCCCGACTCTCTCATAAACTAATAAATATTACTCGCTACTTCTACCTACATTTCTTTCGTCTATAAATTAAGAACAATTCGTTACCGTTACGTGAAAAATGTTAATAATTTTAAGAACGTAATTTTGAGCATTTTGACTAGCATATTTCCGAGAGTATACTTTTCTAAGTATCGTTTTTATATATTTAGAGGCCAAATGTTAATTGTTTATTTTTTAAACGTGATAACATTGCTTACTGTCTTAAAATATGCTCATAAGAATTTGCTTGAAGATTGTTGGACTGTTTTAAGAATTTAATAAATTTCGATACCAGAAAGACACTAAATCTCACAGAAGGTATAACCAGCCCGAGTGAAGTAAAACTGTTTGAATTCCGTTTTACATTATTGATTATCCGCGTCTAAAATCTAATGCGTTTGCAATTGCATAAGATTTTAATTGTTCAGAAACTATGTGAGCATTTTTTATTTTTATGTAATCAACGCATTTACTCGTCATTCACACTTTCAATCTGATTTCCACTATCGTTCATCTATTCTCGCTCAATCGCACGCTCTCTTTTTTTTTCTTTCTTCCTCTCGTTATGTTGCACCGTCGTCGATCATTGAGTAAAGGAATTCGCCACCCGAGATATTTGCTACATCCCGATGCACCTTGGAAATACGAAATTATGCCTACGTAATACTAATTGTTCGGATGACCTTTGCGTGATTCGTGATCGAGACGACTCCGCCGGCGGCTCGTTCGTTATGTGTTGTATCGTCCCAGTGTTTCCTGCCGTGAACGATTTTACGAGGTATTCCGTTAGCTCCATTAAGCCTACCGTTATCAATCGAGAACCACAAAGTGCAAGGAAATGTCATCAAACATCTCTGGCGTAATTAATCGCGCCGCTTGTTCGCAGTGTCGATGTCACGACGCACGGTACGGCCGATAAGATAATGGCCGATATTCGTAAACGGAACTGTCGAAATATTAGAAACAAAGCTGCATCTTGATAGACGCAAGAACATTTCATTCTAACGAAACTTTTAGCGCAAGCCGTGCAACGTGTATAAAATCACGACAAAACGAACGCTCTTTTTAAGGAATATTTATTAATTAGAAAGATTTGCTGTATTGGCTATTGAATCTCAAACCTATAACGCGTTCTGTGCTTCACAATGCTTCACAAAATGCTTCACAAAAATCCTAACACTCTATACTCCATTTATTCCATATAAAAACAATGACCAACTCTGACCGATCGATCAACATCGAATTTTTTTGGGGGGGAAGGAAAGGTTTTCTAACGGGCATCTTAAACTTACATCAATGACGGTGCAGCAATGATTGAATTGATAGACATCAATCAGCTTTATACAACTTTTAATCTCTTGATTTCTTGGTTTCTATACATCACGTAGTTATTACTTCTCACCGTTTAATTTCTAATTTAACTTTATATATAAGTATATTGACTTTCAACTTTACTTCATAACCAGCGACTATGTTTAAACTTTAATTTATTACGTGCAGTTTATAATGACATTTATTTGCGCACCGCGTTTTTCGACCTTCGATAATTTTTTCGTCGAGAAGTTTTTTTTTCAAAAAGGATCGAAACGTACGCTAATAAATTGTAATTAAAATTTCACTAATTCTTTTTTTACACTAATTACCGCGCTTGACTCTGATGGCCTGTACTTATTAGTAATTTTGAATTATGTTCAAGAGAGCCTTCAAATCTTCATTAGTTAGAAAGAAACTATCCATCTATATAGTTTCTTTTGACTATATGTTTTAGTTTAGCTTAAAAGTAAACGATTAATAAATTATTAAATTTTATAGTTTGGAAACGGAGACCTGCATCTCTATTAAATTCTTTAGGATTATGATGATCGATAGCCTCCTGCGCCATTCTTAATTAAGCTAGATAATAAATATTAATGAATAAATCTCGTAGCCGGACGACGCGCGCGACATTACTAGTACCTCGTGAAAATATGCATTGCGTAGAATTAATCAGGGTGACGCTGGAAGAAATATGATATCATGTCATTTAACATCATCAATAGTCGTCACTTTTTAAAATTTTATTTTTATTATATATTTTCATATATATCTTAATTTTTATATCATTTTATGGTACATCTATTGTATAAAGAACCATCGTTCTCTGTTTCACCGATGTTAGGATTCACTGTCAGACTCAAATAATAAAGATATTTCTTTGTTAAAAATCACCCTAATTGATCCTGTATTTTTATAGCTATACGAAGGATCGCTCGCGGATTTGACAAAGGGTTAGTCAAGTGATTTCGGTCGAAGACACAGAAAAAAGAAAGTAATCACGATAACGTAATTGGTGCATTAACACTGTACGCTTCTCTCTTCGTTGAACTTTTCCTCCGTTTCTTTCCTCTCTTTATTTTTTCTCTCCTATCATCCCATCGATCCTACGTCATCGATGGTCGGATGGTTTTAACGCGCGTGATTTTTGCAAAAGGGACGACCGCCTTTCGCGTAGAAGCTTTGGCCCTCGAGATTTTTCTTGCACATCTGCAAAAGAAATAAACGATGTTAATTTTAAAACAATTCCGCATCGGCTTACAAAGCTGTAGATCTCGTGCACAATAAAAGTTATAAGGTTTTACGAGATGAATGAAAATAATATGAAATAAAAAGTAGCGTTTTCACGGATATAAGTAAATCTCTCTTAAAAAAATTTACATACCGTGCAGTTGAAGCACTGGCTGTGATAGTTGTTATTCAGAGCTTCTACCCAACGGTCGCCAGCCTCGACTGGGAATCCACACGCGAAGCATTTCGTAGTAAACAGTTCGTTCCAATCTGCATTGAAGAGAAGATTGCCATTTAATCATAACGAATTGAATAACGAAGTAAATACACGAATAATTTTATAAGTAGGACATATTCTTGTATTTATGATACACTTTGTACTCTTTATCGCGGAAATACTAACCAGCTTCGCAGTACGGCAATCCTTCCTCTAGGAAGAACGGACTGTTACCGAAGAGCTTGCCACAATAAGCGCAATTGAAGCATTCAGGATGGAAGTGCTTTCCAATCGCGTTCAAACAATCCTGTACATTAAAAGAGAAGCGAATGAATCGAATCATCGTGATTGTCATCGTCGACAAGCCACTGATATACTCACGCCCTTGATCTTGTTGTTGCATTTGTTACACGAAGGCGCGATGAATTTCTCGAAACAATACTCGCAATAGAGTTGTCCTTTTTCCTCGACAAAGCCGATGTCTTGAAGAGGACGACGGCATTGCGCGTTAACGCAGACGAAATGATCGGGGCACCAGATTTGGCCCAAAGCGGTGATGAAAGGCCCTCTATAATTATATTGTCATTAATTTCATAATTATAGTGAGATATATTATTATTTTTCAAAACGCACAAGTGTTAATGGACGTTTATTAGCGGAGTGGAGTTTTATACGAACCTTTTACACTCCTTGCCGTCTTTACAGCACACTGGTTTTAGAATGAAGCCGTTCGACTTGTGATTAGTATTTTTTTCGTTAGCTGTCAACAACATGCAACGAAAACCATGTTAATTTAAAAAAATTACAATACAAACAAGTGCAATTAACTCCCGTGTATCATTCTGATAAGTGAAAACATAAATTTCCAAACACAAACGTAACAAAATGTTGTTTAATAGAAACATATATATTCATGTATAAATTATATCAATTAATATTTAAATCACTAAAAATAAAAAATTATCTTGCAGTTATTATGGTGAATTTGAATTACAATATAGAAGGAAAATAGTTGATAAAATATCTGAAAAAGATTACAACTCTTAATTCGATACTTTAAAAAACATGAAATTTTGCGTGAAAAATTAAATAATTAAAATTGAATTTCAACCTAGTAAATAAAAGTTTTTAAATTATATTTAGTTACGTCTATTATCTAAAATAGTGCATAAAAGTATTTTAATTATATTTAGTTACGTCTATTATCTAAAATAGTGCATAATTATGCAAATGCTTATAAATTTATATCAATCTGAAGTTGATTTGAAGCTGACGACAGTGCGAAAATGTACACATAAGTGTTTTAATGTTTCTAAAAATTCTTTGAATCTTTCAAAAAAGGAGTCGCAAAAATCCCGTAAAGACAATAAAAACAGCACCTAAAAAATAAAATTAGATTCATATGCACGCATACATACACACACACACACACATACGTCTATGTACAGCCATATATACATATGTCAACATGAAAATGAACAAAGAAAACAAGCATGTGTTAAAACAAATACATCCAGGACGAGATACGAAAAGCAACAACGAAAACAACAGGCACATGATATTATTGATCCGGACAATCGTAATCCCGAATACCTGACGTATGAATTGCAGTGAGCGCATAGGGGTATACGTGATCCCGCTCCGACAGCCTGATTCAGGATACCTCGTCCACGTTTGGGCGCGCTGCTACCGGCGAACGATCCACTCTTGGAACCCGCGCTGCCGAGGCCACCGATTCCAGTACCTAGATCCGGGTGGGACGACAAATTTGGTGGGTCTACTAAATTCTGGGTTTTACTAAAGGTATCACAATGGATCTGGTCTTGGCAGCGGTTCTGAGTGTTCTGGCAATGCTTGCCGGGTTCGCAGTGGGTTTCGCGGTAGCTCTGAGTGTGGTAATAAGTATTCTCGGTATAACTCTGAGTCTGAGGAGTCTGAGTCGGCTTGTAAAGCTGCACCACGGGCACACTTGACTGGCCGTTCTTGGCGGTCAATCGCGCAAGCTGACCACTCAGATTAGTGCGAGGTTTGAAGCCGGGAGCTGAACATTGAGGGGTCGGTGGAGAAATTTCCTCGTAGGGAAGTGGAATTTGAGGGAAGGGAAGATTTGCCTTGGATTGTTTCGGACCAGGTTTCTTGCAAGGTGCCACGCAGACGGAACCGTCGGCACACGGAGCTATACAGATGTCAGAATCCGGACAGTTAGAGATGTTGAAGTCGCAGCTGGATTCGCGACCGCATGTACCTGATGGTTGACCGCAGGTACCGGGTCGCATACCGAACGAAGGCGACACGCACACGCCCGATCGATCTTTCGTGGCTGTCACACAGATTCCGGATCTAGGGCAAGTAGTCTGGGAACCATCGCAGGGCACCACGACGACGCCGGCCTTGATTCCCTGATCGGAATGCGCTTTGCATGGCAGAACGGTCACTCCTGTTTCCGAACAAGGTTTCGGTGAAGGCGTGTCATATCGCACGTGACGTACTTCGGTGGAACTGCTGTAGATCGGCTGTCTCGCTGGCGCAGATGATGTCATGGGACAAGACAAAGTGGGCTTCGTATAGCTTATCTTATCGATGGCACAGACGCTTGGTTTCGGATTCTGCGGCGGTAATATCTCTTTTTGCTCGCATTTCTCATAATCTTCGAATACTTGAAGCGCTTTCTTCACGTGGGTCGCAGTATTCTCCTGCTCGCTAGTCTCTTCACTCGTCATACATCGCGTTTCCTGGAACTGGGCATAAAGTGCGTCCGTCGGGCCCGCGTCGAGGCTGCTGGTCTCCTTCTCGTCGTAGTTGACAGATCTCGAAGCGGAATATTCCTGCTTTCTGTGACCGCTATCGGTATCCTCTTCCACGTTGTAAGAGATGGTCTTTCGCGAGGGGAAATGCACTGATCCGCCGCGTTTCGATGGTGGTGGATCTTCTCGAACTCTTGGGGCTTGAGCCTTCACGTAACAAGCTGGCGGCTCGGGTGGTCCTTGAGCAGGCGATTTGGATCTGCCAGGCGTTGGAGTAGGCGTTCTACTGGGAACGAACGGCTGACTCTCTATAGGTTCCTTTCTCATCGCCACCAAGTATTTCTGATAGGACGGTATGGCGTCTGGCTTTTTCAGACCAGCTGTGAAAGATTTGGATGATTTTGGCGTTTCTGGTCGAGGTCTCGCGGCAGGCGATGCCGAAGAGTCTCTCAGACGGTGATCCGGTGGTGGAGTTGGCAAAGGTCGCGGTCTTGATTCCTTAATTTCCTTCCTGACACACATCTGCTCTCGCGCATAAGATTCTCTCGTCGTACCCTCTTTACCGTATAAAATATCTAATGGCGGGCAATAGCTGTTGGTTTGAGTCTGAAGATTCGGAGTCTGCGCTCTATTGGCAATCTGTTGATCTTCCGGTCCAATTTCGCGACTCAAAGGAGTATAGCATCGTTCAGGTGCTATCGTCAGTGCTTGCTGGAAAGGCGAAATCGGTCGAATCTCCTCCTTCGGTGGCGGTGGCTTGGGCCGACACCTGTGGTCCAGATAGATGGTCTCCTCGGTGTAGAGTTCCTTCACACTAGACGTAGCGTTTAACGGCGTGTACGACCGATCAGATGCGGTTGTCAAAGCATTTACCATCTCGGATTTCCACTCCTTGGGCGTGGAATTTTTTACAGGCGTGTCTGACAGAGGTTTCGGACCGGTCTCCGTCTCTTTCAGGAACTGCACCTTTTTCTTGCACGTCTCCATGGTCTCCTGGGGCTGCTGTCCGTATTTTGCGACAACACTCCGTCTCTCCGGCGCCTGTTGATCCCGGAGGCTCTGATGGACCTCTACTTGTTCACGCAAGCTCTTTCTACGCTCGTCTTCTACGGCTCCTTTTCTTCTCACACGTTCCTGAACCAGCACTTCTTCAGTGATTTCTTCGTATGTCTCCTTTGTTATCTTGCAGCGTCCCGGAGTGGACCCTTCCGATTCCGTGATGCGTTCTTCTCGCACGACTGTCCTGCCCAATGGCTGCTCTCGCACTTCTTCGACTTCTTCATCCTCTTCATTGAAGGTCACGTGCTTCTTGATCTTCTCCTCCTCTTCTCGTTTCCTCTTTTCTTCTTCCTCCTGACGTCTTCGTTCCTCTTCCTCACGCTTCCTTCTTTCTTCTTCTTCTTTTCTTCGCTCTTCCTCTTCTTCTTCTCTCTTTCTTTCCTCTTCCTCTTCCTTTGCTTTCTCTAACATCTGCTGAGCATCGACAGCCGACGTAACCATTTCGGCGGATTCCTCGACAGTTCGTTCCACTGTGTCCCCCACTTCTCGGTTGATATGTGTCTCGGTTCTTCTCGCGAAACACTGAGACTCCGTTTTGTCTTCCGCTTCCTCTATCATCGACGCGCTAGGTTTCTCTATCGGTGATGATACTCTCTCCACGGTTTTCTCAAAGGTTGCCGATTGCTTCGTGTGCATACCGTCCACCGTCTCTTCAGCCGTCTCGGTGATGAGATCGTGTTCGCCCTGAATTCCCTTCGAAACGTCCACCTCGTCGGTCTCGTCACCCCTCAGGTCGATTACCTCCGTGTCGATTTCTTTGACTGTCTCTGATGGTTGTTCCTGCTTAGGTGCGGGCAAGGGCGGTTTCGGACAAATCGTTTGCTCCCTTCGACAGATTTCTGTTCTATAAGCTCGTTGTTCCTCCCGATGTTCCTTGCCGCCCGATATACGTTCTCGGTGACAAACCTCCCGCATGAACTTCTTGCAAACCTGTCCCGCAGGCTGTTCCTGCGGTGGCGGTATTGCATAACTCTGCTGATAAAGATTGGTACCCCCGTTGCTGACGGTCGCGGTCCAAGGTTTCGGAATCGGTTGAACGATTCTGGTGGGCGTCAGCGACCTGCGGACGCTGTCGGTTGAACTTGGCCTTGAGGTTACCACATCCGATCGAGAAGTTCTACTGCCTGTGTCTACCAAATCTACACGCCGGTATACCGGTTGCCCAGGACAACTTATCCGATCCATCGCGTCAATTTCTTGCCGACGACCGTACCCTTTCAATACCCTTTCGACCTCTCGATCGATGCTTTCGCTTCGATGCCTCTCGGTTCTATGACTTAAAGCTCGCTCGCAAGCCTCAATGCTGGCACGTTTCTCTTTGATCTGATGGCACCTTTTGTCGAGAACAGGATTCGGATTGATATACAGGGGACTGGCGGTGGGATATGTGATATCTTCGATAGGCTTTGAGGGTGGCCAAACGAGGCTCCGGCGGGACTTTACGGAGTCGGGACGGGAGGCCTGATTCTTCGTGCTTTCCACGATCTCGTAATAACAGGATCTTTCGTAAGTCTCGCTGTTGGAGGTTTCTGGGATGGCAAATGGGGGGTGGCGATGAGCGATAGAGATAGTTCGCCGGAATTGCGGGGAAGAGAAAACACGACACACGAAAAGTGTATAATGCACGCGTTCGGGAGGGTAAGTGATCGATTAGAATCGTCAGGGTACGTTAGAAAGAACAGACAAAAAAAACAGAGAAATTTGCAGTGAGTAAGAAGCACGATGAACCGCGCGTGCCCGTGGTCTCTTTCCGAATTCATAAAAGTATGTACTTTAAATGTGCAAGCGCAATATATAATTTAAATAATAAGAATGTTCTTCAAGTCGCCAGCAGTGATTAACAATTTCTAACAACTCTAACAAGAAGTTATATAATTTAAACTTGCTAGAATGTATTCTTAGAAACTGGCGAATTTATCATAATTGCATATATTAGCCATTATTACAAAAAGGAGCGTAAATAACATTAAATATAAAAAAATAATGGTATTCTTTATAATACTATCGAAATTTTTTATGTCTTAAAAAATTTCTTATATTTTTCATTACGTATTTATGCAAATGTAATCTTAAAAGATTGTATCTTAAAAATATTTGTTTATCTTCTTTACTGCAAATTTATAAAATAAAAGCAATTAATTTTTCATTTGCAAAGTATTTTGCTAGCATTTTAAATATCCAAAGAATGACAAAAAGTACAAAGTTATTTTAATTTAATAGATAATTTTATTTTTGTTTTAATCTGATTATTTTTTTTAATGAAAGAGGACCACGAGCACAGCTCGGTAGGCAAAATTAAGAAAAAGAAGCAAAAATTATAAGGCATTTAATTAATTAAAAATTTAGTCTTCGTGAAAAGATCTTCTTTTAATCATTATTATTAAAATCAGCAAATGTGCATTCTTGATAATCACACGACACTCGATACTCTGAATAGAGCAGCGTGAGAGCTGCGTGCCTTCGTATGTTAAACATCGCTTTCAGATCGTAAGTAGCAAAATGATTCTGTAACGACAATGTGTATTGGCACTGATACATGTCGAATATTTAAGATGATCGATACGAAGCGAAGAAAAAACGCTGTAAATGTCAATCCATGAGCGAGTATCGAAGAAACGATGTGGCGCGGTAAAAAAACCAAAGTATAGATGTACGTTCGTTCAACGAAGAACTTGTGCTTTATTTCGCATCTGCATTTATTTATTCAACACCCTGGGATGATGACAATATAAACTGTCATCAAGTAACACTTTAGAAGTATTGTTAAGTCGCTGTGCTATCTCACGATTTCTTTCTTAGGAACAGATAAAACAGAAATTATTCCAAACATTATTGGAGTATAATAAAACAAGTATTGCAATGTTATATTGATAAACTGATAGATATATATTGAAATAACTGAAGGCGATTTTTCTCATTCATATTATCTAATTATCGGAAAATGTTAAAAACTTTCTGCAAAACTCGAAAGAAAAATCGTGAGCAGTAAAATCGCTTTTTATAGTCTGGCACTTTTATCATCTTGATCGTGTTTGCATTTCGGTTGCCAGCATGAGGACGACGACGGCGCCATTGAGAGCTATTGATTCATGCGAATGTGAGGGAGAAAGGTCTGGGTTTCGGGTTGAAAGACGGACCGGCTGAAAAAAGATAAAAGAAAGATTATGCGCGGAAAGAGAGGCACGATAACACACGGTCAAATTTCACGAACAGACATGCGGATCGATCTACGTATTTTTCAGAAAAAGTTACTACTAGGTCTTCTAAAATATCACATTTCTATGATAAAGTTAATAATACAAAAATTTCTTTAAAATAACACTATAAAGTCACTTTTAATCTAAAAAAAATAATATAAATTTTCTAGAAAAGAATCCTATATCCAAATTGTTAAAAAGAAAAGAGAGGAAGCAACTAAGGAAGCATTTATCACTGTCTTGTGCACACAAGTGTTATTATAGTATTAAATATTAAATTTCTGATTTTATCATAAATGATTACTAATTTAAACTTTTCCCTAATGGTGTACTTAAAATTAACTTTTGAACAATTTTCCGAGCGCATCGTGCAAGTTTTTTTAAGTATGAAAGTAAAAAGGGATAAAAGCGCGTATTGGAAGGTCGTTACAGACTGTCATAGCTCTCAGAGTTCGCCGTCGTCGTCGAGATAACGACGAATGATAAGGAGCCAAGAATGAGACGATCGAAACTGAGAGAGGACCTCCCCCTCTCTCTTTCTCTCGCTTTATCGCTATTTAAAGATGACCAGGGAGGACCAACGATCGATCGATCGGTCGATATAATGATACGTGATATACGAGCTGCGTGCAAGGGAGAAAGAGCGATATAAAATGTGAGAACGTAAGCCAAAGGAGGCGTATCAGCCAAAGCTCGAAACTCGGTCAACCGGCGGCTCTAATCTATTCGTCGTACCTCTGAAAGGCGAACTTTTTGGCTTTGGCAGGGTAGAGTACCGACCTATTTGCAAGAATCGAAGGCAGAGTTAGGCCACGGACGCACAGGGCGAGATCATCTTAAATCGATTTCGAGATCGCTCCTTCGAACTTGTCAGATAACTGCGTAAAATCGACGCAAATCCCCCGAATGAAAAAAAAAAGATGAAGAAAGGAGGCGGCAAGATTGTCTTATTATTTATCCGTTGTTGCGGATAATATTTCGAGTCGAATATTTCAACTTGTCATAAAAGATCGATTTTAACACATCTTTAAAAAATTTTTAACTAATATTATCTCACATTACCTTAATTCGTCTTCTTCTATTTACGATAAATTTTTTTATGCAATATTATGTAACCTGAATTACATAAGTGTACGGATAAAGATAGACGAGTTTTCGTCACTTTTGTGCTGTTGCAAGTTTACATCGAACTTATTACGCGTATTAACAATAAGATGGACTTACCTGTCACAGTCTGGCTTTGAGGACGTGGTAAGGTACTGCTGCCGGAATTCAATGTCGGAGTCGGAGATAGATTCGATGAAAATCCACTCGATCCACCGAACGGCTTAGGACCAATGAAACTGTTGCTCGTTGGTGCCTATAAATTCATAATTTTTTTTCTTTAATTATCATTCTTTAATTACCATCGTCATAGAGATTTTGTTTAATTTTTCTATGGAAAATACGATATTTTGCGTTTAACACTAGAACTACCACGTCAAAATAATTGGTTTCACATCTTTTAAATAATTACTGTTCATTTTTAATGAAATTTTAATTTCCGAAATTTTCCCTGATTTTATTTAGCAGATGATTAATTTTATAAATTTGTTTTCTCTCTTCTAAGAATTCTACGCAGTATTCTACGTAGGTAGCACTCGGTAGTTTTAGTGATAAAACGATATTTTAACACAGTGGTTTATTTTACATCAGTTATTACTTTCTTGTTTTGGATATTGATATTGATTCTTGAGTCAAGTAAATGAAATAAAATTATAGTTGCGTCAAGAGAAATGAGGCGTAAAGTAAAATTACAATCGCAGAATTAACAGATTGCAAAAGGTTATCAGTGCCAAATATAGCCGAACATGCGAGATTTCACTGCCTTGATAACGTCTGTTAATACAAAAGTACGATAGGTTAATCAGTGGCCCATATCGCGCAAAGTCTCAAGGAACATTGTACTCCTCCCGTGCTTAAAACCGTTATCTCTGCTATGGAGGTCATGCAAACAATTGCATACAATTTGATTATCAGCATACGAAATTTTTGGGGATAATTAATTGCTAAAATACACCCGTGTGTATACTTGATGTGAAGATAGTTACTCGTTAAAAAATTTCCCTCTTTATTTATTTAGAATCGCGAAATTATATAAAAATATATATGAAAGATCATTAGATTTTAGAAATTACTATTTTTCTGTGAGTATAGAAAATGCCACTGTGTCTTACATTATGCCAATTTTGATTTTAGATTTCAATAAATTGAAAGTTCGGTGTACGAAAAAGAGGAAAATTGTTTTACAGTTTGAAACTAATTTTTCATATTTTTATGACAATAAAGAGAATAGATATATTATATTCGAAATATGTAGGGGGGCGACCGACGATTTTTAATCGCACTGGTAAAACATCACTTTATTTAATTATGTTATCTTGGCGACAAAAACTCGATTTAATTTCCGCGGCGTTGAATCGAAGCGACGACGTTTCACACGCTGTCCATTTTTATGAAATAAATTATATACTGACGATCTTGAAAGGCGATCGGGAACAACGAGAGCGTTACGGATCGTACTGGGACTTTACCTGGACTGATCGTAAGCTGGGTGAATCGATGGGCGGGATGCCAAGGCGGGTGGTGGGCTGCAACGCACAAACGACACAACGATGTCATGTGGGACGAACGATTAAAAATGAGATGAGATGAGATGAGGGAGAGAGGGAGGGAGAGAAGAAAAAAAAGAGGGAAAGAGTGAGTGATTGAGAAGAGACAAATCGACGTTCCCGATTACGACAGGCCAATTAGTCATGAGCTCGAAATAGTAGATCACAAAGATAATGATTAACGTAATTAGGTAGTCGATTGATTCAAGGACACTTTAGTAGACTAACAAACCGGTGACTAAATTAATCGGTTTCGCAATGATATTTGATTCAGTATAGATGACTCTTTAATGATAATTAACAAAAAGTTTATGGTCGGTACGTTTCTCGTTTCGCGTATCAGTCAATGGAGACGAAAAGTAACTATATCTATATTTCGTATCCATATTATTTCTTTAATTTTTATGCTATAATATGCAATATTACGTCATAATTTAATGTGGGATATTGATGCCTCTGGCATTTAACTACATATGCATATATCATAATGCGATCTTTTATGATATATTTCATACGTAACGTATCACGAAATACTACATTTATAATTTTCCATCTCGGTCACGTCAATTTGGCGATTATTTGATCATTTACGCAAGGAAATCACGATGAAAAGTACGTTAGCGTGTGCGAATGCAGAGATCGAGTTTTCGAGCACGTTGCCAACCTCTGTGCCACCTGTTTGGATGGTGATCGTACTCGTGAACGTTTTCAACTCGCCGTTGCACTCGCCGTTCCTGATGCATCCGTTCGTGTTCGAAGTCGATCGCCACGTATGGTGGAATCCGGAATCGGGGCTCGTACGATTGCACGCCTGGAAAAGCGATTAGTGCCAAGCAAGGACCACACTTGTTAAACTCTCAAAATAAGCGCGCGTCCCGCTCGCCGGAAACAGATCTTTCGCGGTACACAACGCGAACATTGTGATTTAATAATAATCAAGTATCTTATTATTTATCGTAAAAAAAAGTTTCAAAGTTGTTAATTATTTAAATACTATTTTCGTCAACTTTGTAAAAGAGGTAAATGTGATTGTCACTCAAAATACGTCGCGGAAACATTTTCGATTATTTGACATTCGACACACGATATTCTAACAAATTTTCTTGCTGCTTAATCGCCCTCAAATTATTTTCAAGTAAAAATCTTTGAAACGAGAAATTATACGGCTATTTGTTTTCGCCGCGTGTCTCTCGAGAGAAATCGTTAATGCGAGAAATTTCGCCACGACCTTCGTTCGACTCGCAATCGTAAGAAACTCCGTGAAATCACGCGCGAGTGCAGCAAAGCCACACAGCTCAATGCAAAATACTCGCTTCATAAGCCATGCCAAAACAGGCAAGAAAATGCGTGCGCGAAAAAGTCCGTCCGTGACCATGCCTCGTAAAGAGAATGAAATTATGATGAAAGAACTCACGGAGAATGGCTGAGGCGACGATCCATGATTGCTGAGGGGTGGCGATAAAGGTGCATTCGCCAATGCCGCGCTAATGGTACTAGCTGGTGCTTTGCCACCTCTGTTGAATTGCAAAGGACACATCTTGTCAATTATTTGTCCGTACTTCAATATCGTCTCAACTTACTCGTTTACTTATACATTTGTATTTCAATATCATCTCACAAATTTATATATCTTTACTTATATACTTATCCTTATCTTATTCTTATTTCCGTCTTATGTATTTATTATATCTTTATTTTTATTTTTTTTTAATGAAATTCTACATTGAACTTTTCAAGTATACAACGTGTAAGACAAGTCTGCTATATAGTCGTATAACTTACGGTGGTATAGTGATGGGCACAAGACCAGACGGAGCATTTTGCCTGGCGACGAGTTTCGCGTGGATATCGCAGTATAATTTATTGTTGATATTGTAATAACCGACATTCTTCAAGGATGTGCCGCAGGTCGAGCACTTGAAGCACTCCACGTGGAGGTTCTTCTCCTTGATCCTGACGAACACACCTCTGCGGGAGAATGACTAAGTTAATAACGCTTATTTTATATCCCATTGTCAGTGGAGTAATTGAACTTCTTTAATGTAACAACAATAAACGGCGAGATGACGGCGCATCGGATGTGCCACGAGTTTTGAACTTTATTACTATTCACTCGAGTTCACAACGAGAGAAAGAGATATAAGAAACTCGATACCTCGACGAAGGAGGCCGGTAATAGCTATTATTTGTACTATGATCTCCGCGAGGATTATATTCGAATGGGAGGGATGAGACGAATAAAGCTACAAATGCTTAGAGTTGATTTCTGTAACGGAGTGAATATCTTAAAAAGTATAACGCTATAAAAAATAACTGATATACAAAACTAGATACATCATAATGCGTGTGAATACTTTTAAGTGTAGTGTAATGTTGTGATTGTATTGCTCGTATAATAGTGTGTTTCTTTATCTAAGAATCAAGATTACGACCTGTTCTTTAGAGAAAAAAAAAGAGTGTATTTCAATATAATTTTCTAAGTGTTTGCACAAAATATTGAAGTTTGAGTAGTTTCAGGTGTCTTTGTCAATAACGTCTTTGTAAAATAACGTCCGTAAAATTTCCTCGCTTAAAAAGTTATTTTTTACCTTTCGTCGAGTATAGGAAAAAAGAGATAAAGTATCGCAAAAAGATTTTGTTTCAAAAAATAAAAAATCCACAAAAATGTCCACAACATCGAAAGCGGGGGGTTTTTTTATACGTTACTATCAGTCATTCACTGTGCTATAAACGCGCGAAAGAGTGCTATTAAGAGTGCAAAGAGTAAAAGAGACATTTAGATAGGGCTGCAAGCTGCGAGCGAACGAGAAACTTTCGTTTCGCCCAGATACGACTTCCAGTAGGTTGCAAGCTGTAAGCTCGAATGATCACGTGTGACCAAAATTCGCCCAGCGAGATTACAGTGATAACAAAAAATGCACAACCATCGAAGTGTTCGCTCTTTCTGAAGAAGCGATAGTGACGAAAGGAGGTGGCAGAGAAAGGCGTGCGTCGAAGGAGACGAATCATCAAGGAGACAAATGTGCACTTCTCTTATCGCGTATATCAATTTCTACAAATTATGCAATTTTAACGCAAATTTATACCATTTATTTGTGACGTAAGTTTTCATCTTGTGTTTGTTACTGGTTTGTCACCCGATGTGACTCTACATTTTTATAAATTTATATAATTTAAGTACAAGAGAAAGAGAGAGATGTGCACAGATTCTCTTCGAATCGGAATCTTCAAGATGATACTGGCATACGACAATCGAGCAATTCAGAACGGCGTCGTTTTCGGGAAGTTTTGACGATTATACGAGGCGCGTAAATCGTTAACTGAGAACAACAAGATTACGATTTACACCTGTTAAATTATAAATTATTTTCTACTATATTTCGTACTTTACTGATCTTCTAAACTAACATTATTAAGATATGGTAACCGAGAAAGAAATATCTTATTAACTTCCTACAATTTGTATCATGTATTACACATTTTAATTGAACTTTAATTCATCAAAACTCAATAATCTTTACAGACATGCAATTAACAGAAACTTAGCTTTACAATGAAAAAGAAACGAATGACTTTCATAAACGTAATCTTTAAATTGCGATTTAATAAACCAAGACTCTGAACCATTGCGGTTAATGATTTCTAAGAGGCTTTGTCGCATCGTATCGCTCTCGGTATGCGAATGCGAACGCCTTGTAAACGCCAAAACTAAACCCTCCGTGGCCGTCTCGTGCACAAGGGTGGCAAGAGTCTTGCTCGTAAATAGTTACACGATCACTCGGTCGCAGTTGCTACAAACGACCCCGCCCGGCGTCGACGAGCCCGACCCGGCGGAAGACTCCTGCTTTTGCGGTTGCGGCTCCCGATTCCTCTCGTACGATTCGTCCATCCAAACAAAGTGCCTATCGGCAGGTGCGCTACCACCACCGCCCATAGCATGAAACATTGGCGTAGGTGACCTCGATGAAGTGGCCCTCCCGCCAACCGCGTGGCTCACCGAGGAGTAAAACTCTGTCCTTGAAGAAACTACGGACATGGAAGTAGAGAAAAAGCGCCATGACAACCGGGCAGCAACTCGGGGAAAGTGTCGAATCGGAGATATGACTGCTCTTTCGTCGAAGCCCCTCGGCGATCGCGTTCGCCAGTCGATGCGAGTTTTCGCGTTCTCAGATTAAAACACAGATTACGAAATAATTCAAGAGCGATTTTCGCACATTTTATTTAGTATATAATTAGAAGTCCCTAAGAATTAAACCAACATAGATATTAAATAGACGGGTGTAAATCTCGAACAAATTTGCGTCATCGTTTTAACCTGAGAACCGGAAATCCGTACGACATTCGGTACGACCCGCACGCAAGTGGGAAATGGTTGTCGTCGTGGAATGCAATCGTAATTGTCGACACTACCTCCTTCTCGCCGATGCCTAGCCTCTGAAAATAAAAAGGAGACGCGCCAGAACGCGCCTCGAGTCACGTAAACTTACACGATGAGCCTTTCGCACTCGGCACAAATGTTCTGTCCTGGTGGCAAGCCCGTTTGCGGCGTCGACGGCGTCTGCGGCTTCGTTTCCGGCGCCTGGACGGGCCTCAGTCCTGTCAGGGCGGGCGAGGATGGCGTTATCACGCCGCTCACGATACTTGGCTCCGCTATTTCGCAAACAAGTTATCGTATCGGCATGCAACAGGTTGGCTGGAACCGATTCTGGCCCAGCCATCAATCACTGAAGAACGTATTGATTTCTCAGATAGATTAATGTAGATAAATTTCAGATAGTCACATTTTTGTAAATAGATTACTCTTTATTCTTACTTTTTACGTAAATTTGTAGAATATCTTATATGTATCGAATGCAAGTGGAGAGGTTGCAATTACATATACGAGAAGGTCGCAGTAACATATGACAGAATAGATAATAAATTATTAGACTTGCGAACGTCTCACCATAAAAATTTGATATTCTACGATTCCGAAGTCGTTAATATTTCCAAGAAAGAAAAAATTATTTGAGCCGCATCGTAGATTAATTAGATTTCAACAAATGAACATTGAAGAACACACAAGAATCTATGTATTTCGAGCAATGTACGTTCTTCAGCGATCTCGTGTAACATATATGTAGATGTTATAATAGGAATATATGATATATTAGTATTAATAAATTTAAATGTCTCCGGAAATTGTAATGTTACTAACCGGGCTCTGGGGTCTTTGGCTCCTTGTCCGCTTCTTGGACCATTTTGAAAACCTCGCTATTCTGAGCATTGTAGTTCTTCTCGTTCTTTTTGAAATTCACCCTGCAATATTCGTATTTATAAATAAATATGTTTCACGCTCAAAAGACAATTAACCAAATTAACTGATCGATAACATTTGGAACTAACTGATAAATTAGACGATTTCTGATATCATAAGATTCTCTTTTTCGTGGCACCTTTCAATATTGTTTAATTAATTTTTGCGCAAACCTCTTTTGATTATAAATTAAATAATGATATAATCTTAATCGTGTAATTCCAATCTAAGAGTGATTTTAAAAAGCAGGTATTTTGCCCGTCACTAACTATTCCCCTTTCCCTTATATCCGGTTTCGCGATTTTACCCAAGGACACCTCCAGCAAGGACCTCCGCTTGAGCGGACAGTGTCTCCGCGATTGTCTCCTCGCTGTAGATCCCCACGGGGCTGTTGTACTGTTTGTTCACGATGGACTTGATTGAACCGTCGCCGGTGCCGTTTAGCTGAAAATGATTAAGTTCCGGTGTAGAAAAATATATAACTGACTTCGCCTTTCGTGTTTTTGTTGCAGAATCGGCGCAGCTGACAGACGCGGATTAAGGGTCGATACTAACGAATGGCTTGGGGCTGAAGTTGTGTCCGGTGCCGATGAGGGGTCCATCCTGTTTTTTCGCCGCCAAAGAGGTCTTTGTGACCGGCGCGATGTTACTCGCGGGCGCGGTGTGCATCGGAGGCGGCAGGCTTGTGGTTGCGGGCGTCACATGCGGTTTCCAGGTACTACCGCCTCTGTAATGATAATTTATCGCCCGTTGAAAGACGGCAGTGAGTTTCGTATTATATATCAGTCTTTTTTTTTAAGTAAAATTGTAACATTCGCATTCTGAGAAAGATGCGAAGAATTAGACGATTTTTGCGGACGCGGAGGTTTTGTATAAACAGAGATTTATTTCTTCTTATTCTCAAAATTCGCAACTTTGTAATAATTACTGATATTTTTGCTGACGACTGACTGACGCGGTAAAAACCGATGAAAGACATTGATGCTGATAGACGTATAGTGATAATGTTTTTAAATACTGAATCATCCGTTTATCGCGTTCATGCTTGCAATTAGCGTCTCACCTTTGAACAGTTATTTCAAAATTATTTCCGGCTTTGACTATGACATCCTGCGCATCCTTGTGCCTCAGATTATACATGTCGGTAGTATTGACTCTGATAACCGCGTCGCCAGCTTTAAGACCAGCAGCTTCCGCCGGAGAACCGCTATTAACCTGCAATCAAAGCAAATTGACTTATATTTATGCCGAGAAAAATTGGAATTAACAAACTATCGCCGCGTTGTTTCTGATTGCGAATATAACTTTTTATATCAGCTAAGTGTCTGAAGATCGGTGATAAGGGGAGAATTTGACGAGCTGCAACTTTTGAAACGCTCGTCTCGAAATCTCGGATCTATTTTTACGAGACGCGTCGCCGAGAGTCAGAGCTCTTCTCTCCTCTCCAAAGTCCAGACTCCAGAGCCACTATATTTAAGTGCACGCGCGTCATTACGCCTCGAATGTCGGACACTGTGCATCCATTCACGTTAGAGACGATGTCGTCGTCAGGGGTCGGGGGAGACGGTTGACAAAAAGGAGACGGGGTGAAGAGCGTGAGGGAAAACAGAAGTGCCCAAATTAAAAAATCAGGCGGTCCTTTTTGTGAACGATCTCTCGTCGACGTTCTTATCGAGCATGCTAATTACGAACTCGACTCGATGATGACGATGAAGGCAAAATTAACAAAGACCTTCTGTGCGTCGGCTAACAGGAATAAAGAAAACCTAGCGAGGAATTTTATTCGCACTAACTGAATATTATTGGCATGAAAATGTAAAAACCGCGAAACTTTATCGAATCGCAACTTTATGTAAATTGTTCGTTCAGTGCTTTGTGCAAATAATATAATTTTATTAATAATATTAATAATACAATTTTGACGCTTTATCTGTAGAAAGTTGAAGATAAACAATGCAAATTTTTCATTGTTGAATATAGGAGACGATTGATTACATAATTTAGAAATATAAAAACGATTTGAGACGACAATCACATTTAATTGTCCTCAAAGGACTAAAATGCATCGTCATATTTTCTCGTACTTTTATATCGCATTTCGTAGAATTACGTTTGACACAACAATTAATTTAAAGAATCAATCACCGATAACAATCGACAATAATCGCACAATGAGAGAAGACGTACGCGAGCGGTTATCGAGTCGGCCGTAATTCTTCAATGTTCTCGCAGAACATATCGGAAATAATTAATGGGCTTCGACCCAATTGTAGGCGGTAGCCACGGGCCCCCTCTTTATAAATATATCTCATAATATATCGCCGTTATTTTTATATTGCGAGTCGCGCGACGGCAGCAGCCGTCTCCCCGTAAAACATCCAAACGGAATAGATCTTATTTCATTCGTCTCCTTCTCGAAAAGTGGGTCGCTTCGTAGGCAGTTGAAAATATGACGCGGTATATACTTTGCATTCTATAAATCGCAAATATGACGACTGTTTTTACGAACGAAGGCGACTTACGTCAGCGAATTTTCAGTGTGGCTTATTTTCTCAATTCGCGTATTGATATTTCCAAAGTCGTTGCTTTCGCGAGCCGTTTAATGAATACTAAGAGCCGCGACCAGAAAAATGTACCCTTGCGTAATTTATCCGACGCGTTAGCATGCGCATCCTTAAAGATTAAGATCAAGATCGAGAATACATGTGATTAATTACACATTTTAAAAATCATGATACAAAAAAAGGAACAACGATTATTTATATTTATCAGTTACAACACGTTACATCATCTCGCGAACGTGCGGACAATATTAAAAAGCAACATAATTCGTCAAACGATGTTTAGATACGTTCGTTATTTTTGCCTTTTGTTAGATCTTCGTATTCTAATAATGCGCACACCGAAAGCGTTGCTTTAGCCTTCGCCGTGTGAGTTTCGAAAGTTATTAAGAAAGTTTTTACGTTCTCGCTTACAATTAGTGAGAATGAAGTCTCTCTGTCAAGTGGAAGGAAGTGGAAGGGCCTATAACCATAAAAATGCCACTTTCGAGAATACATGGGCTTCTATATTCATGCCACGATCGAAAATCTCGTCGGTTACTTTCTCGGGCTTTCGTTAATCCTCCTCATTAGAGTTAAGACTTCGTCAAGATCTCCTCGAGATTAGATTCTCCTTATCTCAAAATTCGCTACTCTTAATCGCAATATCATGATTCTCGCTCCTGTCGACACATTCACGTCACACCAGCGCGAAATCAGAACGTGAGCTTGAGAGAACAGTTTGATCTGCGCGTGTAGTTGACGCAAATAGAAGCTCGCAAGCTTGCGTCATCGCTCTGTGTGATCGTAATACCTAGTTTTACTGTTCAACCTCGTCTTCGATTCTATAAACCCCGGCGATCTAGAGCACATGACTTCGGAATGATCTTCACGGTTAAATCTTTACGATCGTGATACCTTATATACATGTATTGTGGTACGCGCACCATCCAAACGTCATTGAATTGCTGGTTGTCGTTATTCAATCGCAGTAAAACGACACAAGATTGAAGAAAGTACAAATTACATTGAGAAAGTACAATTACACGCCGTTAAAAAGTCCGTGAGTAATCAAAGTGCTGGTCTCGCCTTTGTACGTCGTCATTAATAATGCATGAATCATAATTTGTAACAGCCGCGATAACAAACGCGCATGCTTCAGCGGCGACGAGTTGAATGTCAAAAATCCAGATGAGCGGCCAGAAAGTATGCCGCGCGTTTCGCGCGTTGCTCATTTCCTGGCGGCCGTGTGTCTTTCGGCTGATGCGCCTAATGGTCCACCGATCTTCGCGGTGTCCACGAAGACGTAGGGACGTAAGTCAGGGTTAAGCTGCCGGTGGGCAAGCCGCTTCTAAAAATAATCCTGGACCGGTCTAAAAATAAGCTCCCCGAACACGTTACGGTCGTTACGTACACTCGCAATCGAGTCGCAGCGGCGTCCGAGAGGTAGAATGCATCAAGGTGCATCAAAAGCTCGTCCCGATGCACGCGACACGTCGTCGTCCACGCGGCCGCGATCGTTTCCATTCAGCAAATAATTGCGGCGAGAGAGCCGATGAATGAACGCGCCAGGGAATGCCTCCGGAGGTGCAACGATCGTTTCCGCGAAGCGTAGAGATCGTAAGGTATTGAGAAATTACTCACGTCTCCCCCTTCCTGTATTCTGAGAATTAACGAGTTAAAGGGAACTAAACGAAATCGTTCTGCAAGTCTGTCTTGAACTTGTAACTCGATTCGTGAACTTAAATAGGCGATTGCAATTTCAAAAGTAGCTTTTATTAATTCTTTCATACTTATTTTTTCAAGGCCGATCAATCGCGCCGTATCTTCATTCTCGCATTTCTCTGTTTAACGGATATCGCGCGTTCATGTCGATTTTCACGTTCGCAATACGTCCCGCGCCCGTCCCACGTGCCATCGGGAAAGTCGCAGCAATTAAATAATTAAGTCAGGTCGTAATCGATGCCACGTAAATCCGATCTCGCCGTTTACGCGACGTGCGAGTTTCCGGATGTGAGTTATTGCGCATCCGAAACACCACCACATGTCCGCCTGTTAGAATTGCTCTAAAAATAACTGCCGAATATACGCGAGTTGCACGTATGTGTGCCCGTGCGTGCGCGCACGTGTGGGTAGGTGCACTCGTGTGTAGTGAAACTGAGAGGGAGAATACACCAAGGTGTACGAGGTACGCATTCCAATGGGCGGATTATCAGAGACGGATCCATCCCACCTTCCCATGTTGGAATGCATCTGTTCTTTTTTCGCCGTCTCTCCCTTTCTCTCCTTCACTTTCCCTGTCTCACCTCAGGACGGGAGGACTCTTAAGGCTCGTTCATACGTGCAATACCCTCAAAAACGCGCCGCGCCGACGGGGAACGCATTCGTGCGAACCAGTTGCATTTTATGCCGGCGAAACGTGCAGAAACGCGAGACGCGTTTCACATTTTTCTGCACGCAGTGGTTTCCTTTGTCGATGCGTCGAGAGAAACGCTGAGGCGCGCGCATAGATTTTCTAAGTCGCAATTCGTACGCGATTTAATTTGGAAATTTAATTGAATATTAACGTTCAATTATTGTTACACGTTTCTCGGATTTATTCCAACGATCTCTGTTGTATCTTGCAAAAATTTTAACGCTTCGTTGAGGTAATAGCATTGCACAGAAATAGGCAGTGTGTAAGATACTCAAATTAATTAATGTTAAAGCATAAAAATTTTCCTGACGTACACATATAAAAACGCATATAAAATAGCAGATCAAATAGAATCAAAGGGAGCTTGGAAATATTCCATACAGAATTAGGCGAAAAGTAAGTTTTGCTGAAATATTTTTTACCGGCATTTTTATAATATAATGTACGTGTTTTATATATGAAAATACGGAAAGAGACGGTTTCTCGACCTTTGTCATCGCTCGAGTCACTCGCTTCGAGGTCGGGTGTATCGATGCGTCGATGACGAAACAAATATCGAGGAGAAACTAAGCTAAATGCCTCCGCCGACTTTTGTGGCAGGAGAAATAGACAGTATAACGTCAGACCGAAATTATCGGCGCACGGCCGACCGCGTGCGCACACACACGGCTCTTATCTCTTCAAACAAACTGCCCGTTGTTATTACCGCAAAGTACAACAATATAACAATAGACGGGCGAATGCACACGTGTACACAATGTGCGAAAAATCATGTGGTTTCATCTACGAAGTGCTAAATATCCATGACGTCAATCTATGCGGCGGATATTTAAAACAAACGTTACCACAAAGGATTTCCTCGGATTACTCCGATATTTCAAGTATTTCATTCTCGCGTAGGGACGCATATCGACACGGAAAGATCTAAAATCATAGAGAATGTTCTCGGAATCGCGATCGTGCACGGCGTACCAGGTGTCAGAAGGCGAAAAAAAAAACCGGAAGCGTGAAAGTAGAATCGATTCTGAAAGGTGCGTATGAGTCGACGGGACGGAGGAAACAATTGAGAGGAATCACAGAGGAGTATATGCGTCAGAGTGCATTCGAGACCTGTCAAACGCGCGTGACACTCGAGGCAGATTCAGAAATCGGTATTGATCGAAGTGGAATTAATTTAATTCTATCTCTTCAATCTAAATTCCCTTTTGATTTTAATTAAGACCGCTTCCCTTTCTTTCGCACTAATAATTCATTGGTGA